ACTTGAAGTATTCCCTCCCTACCCCAGGCCAAGTGACAGAACCAGGTCTTCAAAGCCTTCAAAGTAATCCTGTTTGGCAATGGGATGCTGGGTCTCCCCCCCCCCACTCCACAATGATGGTGCAATCTCATTAGACTACAGGACAATCAACTTTTGAAAACTGAGGATTTCAAAAAGTATTTCTGATATTTCACAGGAATATGCCATTCTATTAAAAAAAGGAAGTCCTTAGGGCGTGAATAAATCTAAATTAGTTTTCTATTTCAGGATTAAGAAAGGGATTCTTGCATGATTGCTTCTCAGTTCTGAAGAGAACTTCAACACTTATATGTGAAATAGCAGGGACATCTAGAGCTCAGAAACAAAATATCAAGATTCTACCAAGATTCTTGTCTAGATTCTTGAGTAACCCTAAAGCGGATTTAGATCTTTCAGATGGACTTACGTTATTCTTGAGACCATATCCTTCTCATCAGAATACACAAAACTAAATCCAGGTTCTTTCAGCAGAAAAGTAGTCCATTGTAGACAGAGAATTCCTTGCGCATAAAGGAACTTGTCATTGCATATACATGTTTCAGGACATTAAAATTCATTATGGGTCTAATACTTTCCCTCAAGAAGCACATAAGGTTGTCACAGGGAAAGTTTAAAAGTCCTCATGTATGAAGTAACATCGCCCATGATATTTTGACTTATAGCCACAGAATTAGGAATCCCACCAACACTGACAGAGAATAAAAACCAATTAAAAGAACTCATGTTTACCTATTAGAACCTGAGCTGTTCGAATCACCAAAATCTTACTTTGATGGCACAAGTAAGTAAGTTACACTTCATTGCAATTTTCCGTATGTATTTTTTCAGTGATATGATGCAATTGGATTGGGAATGAAAAAGACACACTCTACTTATTGTGGGACTCAAATTGAGCAGCATGATAAAATAACAAATTGGTCACTCTAAAGTTATCAAAATAATGTTTAAATGTGTAATTCAGTTACATGCACATACATACAGGCACACGACAACCCTTTCCCCCCTCAAATTCAGTTTAATATATAACAAATATCACATTGGAGATGGTATAATCTTAGTTTGACAAATAAACTTACATTTATTTAATATCTGCTTTGTAAAATGACTCACCTATGCACTCTGTGAAAATACATCTTTTTTTTGAAATGAAGGTCAGCAGCACAGTTGCTTCTGAACAAGATGAGAATCACTATTTTTCGATCTTGTTGATCTCTTAGCATGGAAATCTTTGCTAATTTCATTCACAAATAGATCATCCCTATTTCATATAATTCTTCAGCACAATAAGAAATGATCAATAGCCCACAGTCTTCTTTTTTGACCATAGGTAGGTTTCCTTATTGTGGTTTGTTGAGAGAATCAGGGATTTCACCAATGCTAGTAAGTATGCTTTCTGCTTTCTCTGCTAAATACCTACTAAATCTGGGCTTCTATGGATCCCTTTAGAAGGAGGTGGTCATGAATATTAATTTCAGAGCAAGTAGCAATCCTGGACCAAAGAGAAAGATAATCATCTCTATTTAATGAAGAACATAATATTTCTAAAAATAAACTACCCACTGTTATTTCAAGTGTCCCATATTTAAGTGTTACTTCAGAATGTCTGCAGTGGCCCTTTCAGTCAATCACAGAGAAAATCCTTACCTTGAAAAGAAAAATTAGTCTTTTTACAAATTAACTTACATTGTAATCCTATACAAGCTTTCTTGCGAACAAGTTCTATTTAGTGAAACTTAATTATGAATAAATATTTATAAGATTAGAATGTAAGCAAGAACTATTTAATTTAAAACCAAATG